ATGCGGGTAGTTGGGTTAAAGTCAAATTCTGACCTATATTCAAAAGATGTGGCAAAAATTTTGAAAATTACAGGCCCATACGCAATTTTATGTAATTATTTATTAAGTTCTGCTTAACATTAGTAAATTATCAAATTTTGCTGATAAAGTTTTTGAATCTAACAGATTATTGAGAGTTCACTATCATGATGTTAGCTAATTTGAAATTGTTGATTCATGTGGAGTACCCCATTGTTGAGTTTTTGACCCATTATAATTGATGATATTTGTGATAACCTTCGAGTTAATAATGTTCTTTTATACAGCTTTATTCAAACTAATCACTTCTGTTTCATTTGTTAAATATTGGATTGTATTCAAGAATATATCTATCAAGAGCGAATGAATGATGACAAAATAATATACAGTCACTGAATATATCAAAATGTTGCATTATATACAATCAAAATTAAGCCTATTGTTTAGGAGTATAATGTAATTATAGAATTGTATAGCATTGAATTTAAAAATGTGGGTATATTATTTTAAATTGTATTGTCTCTTTTGTATAATGTTTTTGTCAGGTTAAAATTTGAGCATGCATCCATACATCCATCATTTGGTTCCCAATATTTGTTACACAATCATTACATTTGGAAACATTTCAGAAGAAATTTCTTGAAGAATAATTACTTGCAAAATGAGATGAGGTAGTAGAAGACTTGATTATAACAGCTTCTGATGTTCTAGTGATAAAGACGATTTCGAAAATTTATCGAATTAGCGACTGTACTAGGTTATTTAAATACATATTTCTTTGTTTATTCTTTTTCTTGTACTTCTTCTAGTTTCGTCTAGTTTATTTACGGTTTGTACTCTACTGTACTGGATAAGAAATAAAAACACATTTCAATCCAAAAAATCTACTTTATATATATTTCAATATTGTGAAAATAACGCGGAAAATTTCAAGGGCCGTCCTTGCCGCGATAAATCGTTACAGCAGTTCCGATAACAAATTGGCTTATTCTTTTCTTGGAATTCTATCTCAACAAATACTATACCGACTGTACTACATAATCTGATTTCAGGTGTTCGAGGTGTTGCTCACGCTGAAGACGTGGTTTATTTCTGGGACTCGCGCGTTCCTAGTGATTCTGATGATCCAGAAGATGTTATTACACGTCACCGATTATTAACCATGTGGTCAAACTTTGTCAAATACCTGTGAGTACTTATATTCAGAATCGCGTGAAATAATATTTATGCATGATTTACTTTAGAAACCCAACTCCAGAAGTGAACAGTTTCCTGGGTAATGTGACGTGGGAGAAAGTTAGTCCAAATAATTTGGTGTATTTGAACATCAACGATACACTTGAGGTGGAGACGAATCCAAAAGAATACCTCAAGTGGGAAAGAATTATCGACTCGTATGCTATACCTCCATTGATTAATTACTAATGTATCTTCAGAAATAAACTATATCAAGCATTTATATTGTTTTTATATGTGCAGTGCATTCTCTATTAGGTACAATCTGGTCAGAAGCATGTGATTTATATGTATGCTCCCTGCAATTACTAAACAAAAAAAATTGTTTTGGTATTAGGGAGTTACCAAAATATACAAAGAATACATTAAAAATTAAAATTTGATAAGATATTTTCTTTTCGGTGCTTTAAACTTAAAAACATTGTGAAATAAATGAATAAAACGGAAAAAAATTTTTTTTTCAAAATTGATTTCTCGTATAATAATTTTAACACAGGGAATCAATCATCATCAAGTCAACGTAGAAATGACTAAAAGAATCAGTATAAATCAACATCCATCATATATACGAATGAAATAAAGTGTATTATTTTATTAATGAGCTACAGTAATTTACTCTTGTGAAATCAGTATAATAGTGAGGATTGCTTTCGGTGTACAACAAAATAAAACTCTCTCTCTCAACGGTAAAAATAAAAGTATTTTTATTGAAAACTAAGTGTAGTGAAAAAGACTTGTTGTCGGAGCGATCGTTCGCTGGAAAGTCGTCTTGGTGTGAAGTCGCTCGCAGAAGTATCTGGTCCTTGGCGCCAATCTGCCGTGGACCTTTTCTGGAACCCTGTTGCGTCCCGCGTCTGTTTTTTGTCATTGTAACTGTTAGACCGGTCCGGGTGGCATCAGGCTGACGCTCTTGACGTTATACTTCACAGGGTCTTACGACACTTATAGTGTACGATAATTCAATAAACAAAGAAATCTAAATAGAAAATTTAGATAAATTTGGAACGAAGAATTTTTCGAGACAAAACGTCTGAATCTGGTTCGGGCTGAGGCAGTACAGTATTGGGGATCATGAAGGCTTGCAAAAAATGTCCTCAAACAAGGCTGAAATTAAACAAAATCGGATTTCCAAATTTTCGTTTTTTTTCAAATATTTCGAAAACTAATCATGTTAACCTTGATTTTTTAAAGGAATATTGTTGGTCCCCTGATTACGCAACTTTACCCCATTTTAAGCTACTTTGTAGCTCTTACCGTTTCCGAGATCCCTGTAGTGAGAAACGAATTTGTAACAGCCTGTATAGAAACCACCATATATTTATAATCATGAGTTTCTTTCACCAAAACTTCCACATATATCTTAATGTAATCAATATTTATGTCATAAGTGAGAATTGGCAAATATGTTTAAAAATAGTAAGTTCCAAAGAAGAATTATATTGAAGTTATTTAAAAATATGAAAAGAGTGATTTTAAAAGACGCATAAATGCAGTGAAAAGATTTTTTTACACGTGTGTTTCTTATTTTTGGTCGTGAAAGAGGTAGGCCACTACGGAACGTCTCAGGGGATCACCATTACCTGAGGAGTTGTTCCGTCCATCGAGGTTTTAAACTAGAAACCGAAATAAACATCTGCAAGGACGTAGACGTTCTAATAGTTGGACCGCCCCCATGGAGTCTAGCCCGAGAGCAACAGTGAGCGAGGCTAAATGTGTAACAACCCAAGAAACCATCGTACTTTAAATTATAATTTTATTAATAGTAACTAAGTAGTAAAACAAATGTGTACTGTTGGTACATGCCTTATGTGGCAATGACTTTTAAATTAATTTATAAATACTACCTTGAGTGTTGCGTCTTCATTTGCTTCTTTATCGATTCTTAGATTCGTAATCAATTATAACCACTTAAGCGCATTAAAAATAAACATTACATCTTATTTATCTCATTATTACCTGATAATATGATTCATTTCTGTGTGTACGCTTTTATTTTTTAAATAAAACTGTAACTTTTGTCAATTATTTTTGAGTTACTTCATAGTCCAGTATGGGTTGAACTATAGGGCGATTAGATGAAGGTAGCCTAGTCTGTAGCTCAGCACAGCCCAGCATCAGTCGTATCTGGAAACATGAGCTGTACGTGTTGCTTTAATTTCAATAATTTATTATTTTTTCATGGGCAATGTATCGTACGACATTGTATAAATAGTGAACAAGTTGCCGAAAAGTTTTCTTCCCTAGATAAGTAAAACAAGCAATATATAAAACGTAAATTTGATCCATTATATACGTCATTTCTTGGTTAGGGCCTTGACTATATAGTGTGTATAGTCAAAGGTTAGGGTCAGAATATTCCATGGATGACTTTATAATTTTGTTCGCCCACATAGTGCAATGGTAAACATGATATTATAAATTATTGATAATAAAATAATGAATAAATGATTGTAACATATTTTTAGGAATTATTTTTATTATGAACATCAATTTGATAATTTCACTAACAATTGTAATCATTTAATAGAACTTGTAAAGGCTGTATATGAAAAGTATATTGATGTGAGAATAAATCATGAAGTCAAAAATTTAATTCAGTAAATCTACGAAAAGACAAATACAGGGTGATTCAGAACTTATCCAAAAAAAAAATTCTGGATGTACCTACAGGGGACCCTTAAAAATACAATTTTGTAAAGAAAAAACAAATAACAATCGAAATAATAATATCGAAATTGATTTAAAAATACACTTCTGCACGGCACTGAAAACTGGTCCACTGTAAAACCTGACCTCGCACAATGCGACCGGTATGGCGGCGTGATAAAAACGGACAAAAACTTTCGCAAGGAAAGAAATATGTAAATAGAATTTTATCACACCTACTTTATATCGGCAAATTCAAATGCTTTTGCCTTTATTAATTATTAATAAAATTAATTTGTGTTTTTAAATAATAAAATCATTTGACATACCCGATGCTGCAACAGCAATTGTTCAAAATTTTATCCACTCACGTGTAAACACATTTGGGTCCGTCTTACTCACTTTCTACGAACTAACACAAATGATGTCTTGCTTCACCATAACACAAATACTTCACCATAATACAAATGTTGTCTTGCTTCACCATAAATTAAAACGATATCCATAACTCTGAGTTGCTATACACGCAAGCCATTTTTGACACTAACTACTAAAAACCTGATGTAAATACAACAGATAACAGGTAAAAACTACCGCAACGACTGATTTCAGTATTAGGAGTCACATGACTCTCCACGCGTATTGCGAATGACGCTAGAGATTACAGCTGTCCAGCTATGTAGTGGTTTAATGTGCTATAACTTCAATAATTTTTTTCTCAGAAACTAAGGATTTTACAATTTTTTTTTTTTACAATATTGACTCCATTTCTCATGCCGCATCTATTCCCAATTTTTTTTGGATAAGTTGTGAATCACCCTGTATTAAATAAAATAACATTATTTAGACGACAATAAATATATATTTCAATTATTTTGTAGTTTTATTTAATATAACACTAAAATAATTATATTATTTTCTGAATTCCAAACTTGAAATATGAATATTTGTCGTAAGATTCATATTATGATCTGTTCAAAGTAGGTGTGGTCATATTACCTCACACACTCCACTTCCCCGCAATAAGCATTCACTGATACTCGTACATTGGAATTAGATAAAGCCACTCTAGGTTGTTTTTGGGTTACTTAAACTGAAGTATTTGTCGTCTATAGTTATTAGTTCAAAATGAAATACAGTAAAGGGTTATTGTTAATTTTAAGTACAATAAGCGTTTCTCTAGCAGACGTAAGTAATTATTTATTAGTGGGTTATAAGATATCTGGCACTAAATTATTTTTGTATCGCCAATAACTGAATAAACAGAAATTAACTATTATATTAGCATTGTTTAAGATTTTATTTTGTCTTCAATTTAACTAATTAATAGAAAACTCTTTTTGCGATACATTTTATAATATTTCTGAGTAAACTTCAGTAATGATTCTGCAATTCAGTTATTTACATTTGCATTTTGGTCGCTATTCCACCTAAAGAACAACGACGTAACTTCAAATTTCTGTTCATAATAATCCTAACACATGTTTTATTTAACACATTCTAAAATATGCAGATGGTTTCCACACATACTTCAGTTTCGGAATTGTCAATAAATTTCTCCTCATTTAAATGACAAATTTCATAAATTATTTCGGTTTTTTCTTTCTCCTGAAAAGTTCACATATTTGCAGTTACGTCAATGTTCCTCCGGAGCTTCTATTATTAAGTATATAAAAAAATAAATAAAAAAATACGAAGCAATTTCTTGGTAATGTTAAACATTTTTCTTGGGAAAAGCTGCCACTAATTTTATGTACAATTGTTGCAGTAACATCCATGGTTGTGTAACTTTGTAAAAATGTATAAGCCTCTACATGAATCAGAACGGTTGTACTAGTTGGATAGTTATTGTTTTGGTCTGTTCAACACCGAGACGAAACAATCTTAAAATATCTTTCGTAAAATTATCTATATTCTTTTAATAAACAGGTAGTTGATCCCACACTTGTGACTTTACCAGAAGGCCAAATTAGAGGTCAAGCTTTGCAGTCTCCAAACGACAACGTTTATTACGCATTTCAAGACATACCGTACGCAGCTCCACCTGTAGGCGAATTAAGATTTCAGGTAAATCTATGCACATAATATATTTCTTTTTATTTTCATAAGATTTAAAACAATTTTTTAGCCGCCTATAGCATCGGCAAAGTGGGATGGAGTATTAAACACCACGAAAAATGAAAAAATCTGTTACCAAAGTGGACAATACTATGTGGATCCGGATTTAATCCAGACAGAAGACTGTTTGTACCTGAACGTTTACACTCCTCTGGTAAGAATATATAAAACTACATGATACTACAGTTTTCTTAACAATGACACTATTAGGCATTGTTGACATTGTTAAAGTTTTGTCAATGTCACAAATACTTTATATTTGATAAAATATAATTTTAGATTTATACTTTCTTTTAGATACCTGGGAACCCTTCACAAACTCCCTTACCGGTGTTACTGTGGATCCATGGAGGTGGATATCAAAATGGAGCTGGCGCTATTCAGATATACAAACCGGGACTCTTTATTGACCACAATATTGTTATTGTCACCATAAACTATCGAGAGGGAGCTCTAGGTAATAATCAATTGATGTGATATGCTTTTGATTTTTCACTTTTATAACAATAAAATGCAACATCGATCCAAGTAATAAACAAATAATGAAAATGACACAAAAATATAAATAAATATATAATTTATTTGTTCCCTGATTTTTAAAGCATATAACATACTTGAAATGTTGTGGTTAATCTTCGAGTACTTGTACCAGGATCATTTACCACGGCGTTTAAAATTTCTGGTTCTCACTCTATGAGTTTTTTTATCGTGCAACATTAATTTATTGGCGTTATATACAGTCGGAATAATATAACTAATATAGTCTTCTTTGCTCCTGACAAAAAGTAGACTTTAATCTTTCTTGATACGAATACATGCTTTTTCACACACAAACTTGAAAACACAAAAATGCACGGTACTGTCACTAAATTAATTCAATATATTTTTTTAGGATTTCTAACAACCGAGGACCGAGTCATACCGGGCAATCTGGGTTTAAAAGATCAACATTTTGCGATGCAATGGGTTAAGAGAAATATCAACCTATTCGGTGGAGACCCCGAAAAAATAACAATTTCAGGAGAAAGCGCCGGAGGTGCATCTGTTGGATTGCAGATAATCAGTAAAAGAAACAAAGGTAATCAATACTTTTACGGCAATTGAAATCCATAAAACGAATTAAATTTTCAAGGGTTGTTTCGAGGAGCCATATTACAAAGCGGTACTGGAATAAATTACAAAGCCCACCAAAGATACGCCAGATTCTATGCTTTTGAATTAGGACGAAATCTGGATTCAAACTTCACTTCAGATAAATCGGACGACTTACTGGAATTGTTGCAAAACGTTCCAGCTACTGATATAAACGACAATACGGTTACAGTAAGTTGTATACAAATACAATCATTAAAATATCCCTGAGCTTGTCAAACGCAATATAACTGAACACTGTAGACGGAGTTATCGTTCGTTTTGATAAGATGTTTATCTTGATAAGTGCGCGTGTACGAGGGCTATTTTTTTTCAAAGTCCGATTGGTCGCGATAATAAAACCACAGTAAAAATCAAAAAATTTTATTTACAACATTTAGCTACACCTTCCAGCGAGTTATCTACATAGTCGCCGCACAAACGTAGACATTTGTCAGAGCGCGGTACCAAATTTCCAATATAGAAGCTGTGCTTGCAGTCGAGTTTGTACGCTGGTCTGCAACTCGTTGTCTGTGCCGAAATGATGTCCTCCTAGCCAGCGTTTCATTTGAGCAAAGAGATGAAAATCAGAGAGTCAAGTTCAGGCTGTATGGTGAGTGAACACTTCTCATCGAAAACGCTGCAGAAGCGTTTTTGTTGCAGTTGCAGTACGCGGCCGAGCACTGTCATAAAGGACAATGCCTGATAACAACATTCTTCTTCGCTTGTTCTAAATTGCCCTTTATAGACGTTGAAGAGTCACGCTGTATGAAGTTGCAGTTATGGTCATGTCAAGTTCCAATAATTCCACTAAGAAAACGCCCTTTCTGTCCTAGAACACAGTAGCTAGTAGCCATACACTTTCTGATGGAAGAGGCCGCTTGCTCTTCTTTGGTTCACTGGGGGAATAAGAATACATCCACTGTTTGGATTGCTTTTTTGTTTATTCATTTTCGAAATGGACTCGTATCTCATCCTCATGGTAGCGCTGAAGAAATGTTGAGATGGTGCCCACTCGCTGTGTTTTGTAATAGTCGAGAACCCATCTCCACACAGTTTGCGGTACTGAAGTCTCTCACTCACGAAAGTATAGAGAGCTGACCTTAAAATTTCGGGAAACGAATCACTGAACCCAGAAATTGTGAACCGACGATTTTCTCGAATCGCCTAATCTACTCGCTGAGCAAGATTATCGGTTGACACTCGCTTCCTTCCCTGCCCACCTGCAACATCAACGTCTGTACGACCTGCTTCAAAGTAATTGCATCATTGTCCTACTTTGCTGTCATTCATGTCACCGTACTCATTGCTCATTGCAACATGAAGAAATCAAATTACAGCACGCACTTGTAGGCATGTTTACGTGCACGCTCAGAACTGACAAGTGCGAAGAGATGTGATCGACGTGCATAGTAGAGACACTACGCGATACATCTGCGCAAAGCTTTATCGGCTTTAATTTCGGGACAGATCGGATCCTGAAAACAAAATAGCTCTCGTTTATTATCTACCGGATATTAAGTGAAAATCAATTTGCACAGCCTGAAATTGGAAAAGAAGCCGGATTGATTGAAGGCGAAGGTTCAATATGGCTACCTGTGATAGAAGACGCGAGTCTCGAGGGGGCACTATTAACTGGTCCATTTCAAGAAGATGTCAGAACTGGAAACATAAACCAAGTGCCCATACTTATTGGCTTCAATTCCGAAGAGGAATTAACGTTTATGCTATTTGGTAATAATCAAGAAAATTATAGTTACTATAACAATGAAAATTATCTTCTTTTCGGTTTTAGATCCCACGATTCCTGAAAGATATGCAAAATATTTGGATAGTGATTCGTACAATCTTATTAGGGATAAGTTCAACATGACCAAAGAGAACAAACTGACTGCTGGAACCATGTTAAAGCAAATATATACTGATGGAGCTTTCGAGGATAACCTTGGAGCAGTAGTGAAGGTGAGATGTATTTTTATACAGAGTGGTCCAAAAATATGTAGCCATACTGAAGCAAGAGGAAATCGTTTGCATAATTCTTATCTCTAAGAGAATTATTTTTAACAGCAATGTACTTACCAACTGTGTTTCTTATTTTAATGAGCACCACACATTTTTAATTTTCGAAATATTTCTTTAATATGCGTATTACCTTTTTTTTAATGGTGCCGACTATTATAATCAAACAAGATACTTTGTATTATTCCATCAAAACACTTTTGCTGAAGGTTGTTTAAAAAATAGTGTTTTACCAACCTCTGTGTCTCTTTTCGGGACCTCGTTCACATGACACTTTTTCTCAAAATTAAGTTGTCTAATCCTGTTTCAATTTAACTAAATATTTTTGTTAAAACTAAAATTAAAATTGCAATAGAAAGCATGTATTTCAAGTTGGAGGATTCCAATAATTGATAACATTTAATGCTTTAAAAATTACACAGCCCCACAAAAAAAGTGGGTGATCCAAAAGACAAGACCATGGTATCCATATATTTTTGGGGTCGCTGAATCCGAATCCGGTGTCCTTTTGACCCGATTAACTCTGGGTTAAGGTTAGTTCAAGGTCAAATATATAGAATCAAAAACGTATAAGTACGTAGGTTTACTTTGTTGACAATAATTGATCCCCTACATTTGACCTTAAACTGACCTTAACCCAGACCTATCCGGTCAAACAGACATCGGATTCGGATTCAGCGACTCCAAAAACATGTAGATATATTGGTTTACTTCGTTGGCAAATTGATTCTATACATTTGACCTTGAACTAACCTTAACCCAGAGCTAATCAAGTTAAACGGACAACGGATTCGTGTTCTGCGACCTCAAAAACGTATGGATATGTAGGTTTACATTGTTGACAATAGGTTTTTTACATTTGACCTTGAACTGACCTTAACTCAGACTTGATCGGGTCAAACAAACACCGGATTCAGATTCAGCGACCCCAAAAAATATAGATACCATGGTCTTGTCTTTCACACCTCCCACTTTTTTGTGTGTTATCATTATTAGGTGGTGTATCAATTTGGTAAACGAAAATTTGTTGAATTTTCAGTTTTTCAGTGATGAAACTTTTACAACGCCAATCATTAGACACGCAAAGCTGCAATCCAATTACACCGACGTTTTTCTGTACCAATTTTCATACAAGGGCAAAATGGGTGGTTTGAAAGACATAGAAATTGCAGGTAACGAATATTTTAATTATATGTACATATAAATTTATACAGTTTATTGATTTTCCAGTAGTTTCTCTATAAACTATGACAAATTAATCAATTTTGCTTAAGGTACTTTAACAGATATTAAGGTAACTTAAATCAAGTTTAAAAATCCTGATAAAACTCTCATCTGGTGAAGTCATAATATGCTCTTTGACGTCAACATCTAGATATGCCGAAAAATAACTTCAAAGACAAGTTATTAATTAATAACTACATAGGAAACAACTACTCTGCGGTTTTAGCTCTGTCCAGCACTCGCAATATGTAGTAAACATGTTATATCTCAAACACATAATTTAAGAAAATAGTTATCTAATTTTTTATTGAAAAATCAATCAATCAAATATAATAATTTATAACTTCAAGGATCTAAAATACAGTCTGCAAACCTTATTTTTTTATTGCTAATATTAAATTTCTACGCACTTTGACTAAAATTGAAATATTTTACAAACAATAAGTCCTAGGTAAGCAGAACATTTAATAAAGTTCACATATTTTTTTATGGTGCTTTCAAAAATGCAGTAAAATGCAGGGTGTTCCATTTAAAAATACATAACTTTGATATGGTACGCTTTTTCTGGACACTCTGTATATTTCAAAATATTTTTAAAATGTAGTCGTAATCAATCTACACGTACCCACCTAAACAGGTTTCTATAACACTTGCCGTTTGGTCCCTAGCGACCGAGGTGGCTCACCCTGTATACAGGGTGTTTCAGAATTAAGTCGACAAATTTTGAAGTAAAAAAATGTTTTCGAGAAGCGAACAGAGATATTTAAGTAAAACTTGGTGTGACTTATGATTAGATAGTTTGTTGCAATATGTCTTAATAGTAAGTATTACTAGCCACCAGCGGCGGAGATATGGGTAGGCGGTGCAATAAATTCGACAAATAAAGCAGTATGGCCCTGTAAAAAATGAGAATTGGTACCATTTTTTAATGTAACGAGCGTTCAAATAAAAACGTGATCAAGTTGGTTCTGAAAATTTGGACGTAGGGCGTAGCGTATAGCAAATGAACTTAAACGTCATCTGTCAAAGTGCTATATCGCCGCTATCAATTTGAATATTTTCGTTTTTAAAATGGTGTCTCAAGAACAAAAAGTGTTTATCATAGAGTCCTACTTTAGAAATGGACGCAAGATTGATGGAATATGGAAGTATTCTATTGAGGAATATTTCATAGAATTTCAAAATCAATTTCCCGACGTTGTTGAGTACAAAATTTTTCAAAGTGCAGTTCAGCGTTGTGTTAATGTTTTTCGTGAAATGGGCAGTGTAACAAGAAAAGAAGGAAGCGGCCGACCTAAAAAGCGGACTGAAGAATTAAAAGAAAATGTCCAACAAATAATGGAAAATGCGCCAAGAACTTCTGTACGTGTTTTATCACAAATGGTGGGAGTATCAGTCGGTACCTGCCACACAGTGTTAAAAAAAGATTTGCGTTTGTTCTCCTATCGTTTAACTTATCAGCAAGAACTTCATGAAGTTGATTTTCCGCGACGGGCTATTTTTTTTAATGGTACTCTTACTGCGCAAAGGTATAGAGAAGAAATTATCGCTCTTTTTGTTAACCAGCTGGAAGAAAACGACTTATAGACAAGATTCGTGAAATTAACAATACCCCGAGCATCTTAGAAAATGTCTTTAATTCTTTGAGGAACAGGTGTGAAAAGTGCTTGGAACAAGGAGGGGGACACTTTCCGCAGCTCCTTTAATTGTTTGTTATTGTTATCACGATTATTCTTTAAAATAAAGTTATATAGTCATTAACGTTATTGAAACTGACAGCTGCTATACAGCTCGTTGAGAAATGAGGTTAAGTTGGTCGCTATAAGCTACTCCCTACGTCCAATGTGTCAGAGCCAACTTCGACCACGTTTTTATTTGAACGCTCGTTAATATTTTAACCTGGACAATAATTGGCTCTGGGGGTTTTCTTGTATTTTTTTTATGGCAAATTCAGTTTATTTTACTTCACCTTAAGATAATATAAGTAGACTGATTTAAACCCCATGCGTTATTTTAAAGGGAGTATTTAAACAAAAATTGCCAGTCATACCCTCGAAAACCTCAAGAGAACGGGCATTCTGTATAGGTCTCTATATTTAACTCTTCCTTTTGATGGGACAAAAGTAAATTACGTTAATCTTTTAGGAGTACAAGGCGTTGGTCACGCCGAAGACATAGCTTATTTATGGGATGCACGCATTATCAACGATGGAACCCCTGACGATCCGGCAGATGTCATTACACGACATCGGTTATTAACTTTGTGGTCGAACTTTGTTAAATATTTGTGAGTATTTGCGATTCTAGTGAGAAACAGTCATTGGGTAATAAATAATGATCTGCTTCAGAAATCCAACTCCGGAGAAGGACAGTCTCTTGGGCAACGTAACATGGGAAAAAGTTACTCCGAACAGTTTGAAGTATTTGAACATCAACAACACACTCGAAGTGCAGACAAATCCAAAGGAATACCTCAGATGGGAGCGAATTATCGATATATACGCTATTCCGCCACTTTTTTATTACTAATTTTGAATTTTAACAACAACAATTATGTTCTTATTTTCTATTGTTTTGATCATTCATAATATGAGTCGGTATTAAAATCAAAATAATGTATGCAATTTATTTCTAAAAATGTATTATTCCCCATTTTTAACAGTTTACAATTGCCTACTACTACAAAAGAAGATGTTATGTAGGGTGGCCAAATGAAAACGAAACAGAGATATTTTCAAGAACTGCGTCAAGATTGTAGAAAAACGCTCAGGCGTCGATTTTAGATTAAAGGGGGGCATTCTATACTATATTTTTGACTCCGCCACTTTCACCCCCAAGCAAGGGTACTTAAGCATCATCCCAAAATATTTAAGTAGCATTGGGGGTTGAATAATATTTCTTTTGAAAGCTCTTACAATTCTCTTTACAATAGACTTTTTTAAATTTTATAATTCCGCCCAATACATTGAAAAAAATTTACATTTTAAAATTTAAATTATGTTTAGTTGCTTACTTACTAGTTAGTTAATTAAATGTTCAAACTGATGACCGCCCGCTTCCATACAAGAATAAGAATTTTGTTCAAAACGTTCGTGCATATTCCGAAGCATTTCCGGAGTGATTCGACGACATTCGTCGACGATTCTTTGACGCAAATCTTCCAGCGACGCTGGCTGTGTTTTATAGATTTTACTTTTTAGGTATCCCCCCAAAAAGAAATCAAGGGGCGAGAAATCTGGTGATCGTGGAGGCCACTCAATGCTGCCTCTTCTCCCAATCCAATTCCGTAGAAAACGTTGGTCCAAATACTGACGGACAATTAACGCATAATGCGGAGCAACACCGTCCTGTTGAAAAATCAAATGATCTTCATCATGCTCTGGAACATTTTCAATAATATCAGTCAAGGCAGGGTCANCAGATATTAAGGTAACTTAAATCAAGTTTAAAAATCCTGATAAAACTCTCATCTGGTGAAGTCATAATATGCTCTTTGACGTCAACATCTAGATATGCCGAAAAATAACTTCAAAGACAAGTTATTAATTAATAACTACATAGGAAACAACTACTCTGCGGTTTTAGCTCTGTCCAGCACTCGCAATATGTAGTAAACATGTTATATCTCAAACACATAATTTAAGAAAATAGTTATCTAATTTTTTATTGAAAAATCAATCAATCAAATATAATAATTTATAACTTCAAGGATCTAAAATACAGTCTGCAAACCTTATTTTTTTATTGCTAATATTAAATTTCTACGCACTTTGACTAAAATTGAAATATTTTACAAACAATAAGTCCTAGGTAAGCAGAACATTTAATAAAGTTCACATATTTTTTTATGGTGCTTTCAAAAATGCAGTAAAATGCAGGGTGTTCCATTTAAAAATACATAACTTTGATATGGTACGCTTTTTCTGGACACTCTGTATATTTCAAAATATTTTTAAAATGTAGTCGTAATCAATCTACACGTACCCACCTAAACAGGTTTCTATAACACTTGCCGTTTGGTCCCTAGCGACCGAGGTGGCTCACCCTGTATACAGGGTGTTTCAGAATTAAGTCGACAAATTTTGAAGTAAAAAAATGTTTTCGAGAAGCGAACAGAGATATTTAAGTAAAACTTGGTGTGACTTATGATTAGATAGTTTGTTGCAATATGTCTTAATAGTAAGTATTACTAGCCACCAGCGGCGGAGATATGGGTAGGCGGTGCAATAAATTCGACAAATAAAGCAGTATGTGTATGAAGTTGCAGTTATGGTCATGTCAAGTTCCAATAATTCCACTAAGAAAACGCCCTTTCTGTCCAAGAACACAGTAGCTAGTAGCCATACACTTTCTGATGGAAGAGGCCGCTTGCTCTTCTTTGATTCACTGGGGGAATAAGAATACATCCACTGTTTGGATTGCTTTTTTGTTTATTCATTTTCGAAATGGACTCGTATCTCGTCCTCATGGTAGCGCTGAATAAATGTTGAGATGGTGCCCACTCGCTGTGTTTTGTAATAGTCGAGAACCCATCTCCACACAGTTTGCGGTACTGAAGTCTCTCACTCACGAAAGTATAGAGAGCTGACCTTGAAATTTCGGGAAACGAATCACTGAACCCAGAAATTGTGAACCGACGATTTTCTCGAATCGCCTAATCTACTCGCTGAGCAAGATTATCGGTTGACACTCGCTTCCTTCCCTGCCCACCTGCAACATCAACGTCTGTACGACCTGCTTCAAAGTACTTGCATCATTGTCCTACTTTGCTGTCATTCATGTCACCGTAGAGTAGAGACACTACGCGATACATCTGCGCAAAGCTTTTTCGGCTTTAATTTTGGGACAGATCGGATCCTGAAAACAAAATAGCTCTCTTTTATTATCTACCGGATATTAAGTGAAAATCAATTTACACAGCCTGAAATTGGAAAAGAAGCCGGATTGATCGAAGGCGAAGGTTCAATATGGCTACCTGTGATAGAAGACGGGAGTCTCGAGGGGGCACTATTAACTGGTCCATTTCAAGAAGATGTCAGAACTGGAAACATAAACCAAGTGCCCATACTTATTGGCTTCAATTCCGAAGAGGAATTAACGTTTATGCTATTTGGTAATAATCAAGAAAATTATAGTTACTATAACAATGAAAATTATCTTCTTTTCGGTTTTAGATCCCACGATTCCTGAAAGATATGCAAAATATTTGGATAGTGATTCGTACAATCTTATTAGGGATAAGTTCAACATGACTAAAGAGAACAAACTGACTGCTGGAACCAGGTTAAAGCAAATATATACTGATGGAGCTTTCGAGGATGACCTTGGAGCAGTAGTGAAGGTGAGGTGTATTTTTATACAGAGTGGTCCAAAAATATGTAGCCATACTGAAGCAAGAGGAAATCGTTTGCATAATTCTTATCTCTAAGAGAATTATTTTTAACAGCAATGTACTTACCAACTGTGTTTCTTATTTTAATGAGCACCACACATTTTTAATTTTCGAAATATTTCTTTAATATGCGTATTACCTTTTTTTTAATGGTGCCGACTATTATAATCAAACAAGATACTTTGTATTATTCCATCAAAACACTTTTGCTGAAGGTTGTTTAAAAAATAGTGTTTTACCAACCTCTGTGTCTCTTTTCGGGACCTCGTTCACATGACACTTTTTCTCAAAATTAAGTTGTCTAATCCTGTTTCAATTTAACTAAATATTTTTGTTAAAACTAAAATTAAAATTGCAATAGAAAGCATGTATTTCCAGTTGGAGGATTCCAATAATTGATAACATTTAATGCTTTAAAAATTACACAGCCCCACAAAAAAAGTGGGTGATCCAAAAGACCATGGTATCCATATATTTTTGGGGTCGCTGAATCCGAATCCGGTGTCCTTTTGACCCGATTAACTCTGGGTTAAGGTTAGTTCAAGGTCAAATATATAGAATCAAAAACGTATAAGTACGTAGGTTTACTTTGTTGACAATAATTGATCCCCTACATTTGACCTTAAACTGACCTTAACCCAGACCTATCCGGTCAAACAGACATCGGATTCGGATTCAGCGACTCCAAAAACATATAGATATATTGGTTTACTTCGTTGGCAAATTGATTCTATACATTTGACCTTGAACTAACCTTAACCCAGAGCTAATCAAGTTAAACGGACAACGGATTCGTGTTCTGCGACCTCANGGGTGAAATCGACCGTTTTCTATCAAGTGCAGATGACAAAGAATTCTTAATGATTAAGGTAAGATTACTTTTGTTGTTAGGTATTTCAATTATTAAGTATTTTGATTTTTTATAGGTTGGATTAATTCTGGGGATTGCCGGAGCTTGTCGAACTGATGAACTAGTCAATTTAACTGTAGATGATATTGAGGATGTAGGCTCTTCCTTGATTGTAAAAATTCCAAACACTAAGACAAAGATTCCACGAACCTTTGTGGTTACCGATGTGGGAAATATGCTTGAATTGTTTCGAAAATACCTGTCCCTTCGTCCTCCCCACGTCAAGCATAAGCGCCTTTTTTTGTACTACAAAGCAGGAAAATGTAGTTCGCAGCCAGTTGGCAAGAATACCATGGGAAAAATTCCGAGTGTAGTAGCTTCGTATTTAAAATTACCTGATGCTGCATGTTATACTGGTCACTGCTTACGAAGATCTTCAGCGACATTACTGGCAGATGCTGGTGTGGATATCACGACAATAAAGCGTCATGCTGGTTGGAAATCAACGACAGTCGCTGAGGGTTATGTCGAGAACTCCATTGAAAATAAGACCAAAATTGCTAATCAGGTTTTAGTAGGTACCACTACTAGCGCAATCACAAAAACTGTAAATGTAAGCGAAAGTAATATTCCTTCTAATATTAATTTTGAAAATTGTACAAATGTAACATTTAATTTAAATGTCAATAAATAATTTCAATGTTATCTTTTTTTTTGCATGAAAAACGTTCTCCATAATGTAAACTCCCTTGGGAGCATTATACTCCCTTGGGAATAATCGACTACTTCTGTTTTAATTTTGATGTCATAGAAACTGATTTCTACTCCCGACCGTGGAAAAAAGAAATTTTTAATAAAATCCCAAAAGTCTAACGTCGACTAAATTGATGTCGCGTATCCAAAAAAATTACAATATCTCGTAAACTGAGACCAAAATCTAAATCTTCCAAGAATGAAAAAAAATAGAATAAAACGCCGCCTTATCTAAAAAAAAAATTTCGGAAAGCGTAGACGTAGGTACTCTAAAAAACAATAAGGGGTCCATGGGTACTGCATATTTTAAACTAAAATTACACAAAAAGTGTGCGATTAAGATCAATATATGTGCTAAATTTCAAATAATATCTCTACAATCACGGGAGTTATCAATAAAAATCACCACCCGACCTTACACCATTCTTTTCTTACTGACAAGAGTTTTTTTGTGGCTGATTAGGAACCAACAGAACCGGAAGAATGGAAAGAGATAAAAAATACCACCCACAACACACGTTCATGCTATCTAAATGGACAAACTGATTATATGGCACCAGACGTAACTGAACATGAGGACTGTCTGTATCTTAACGTGTACACGCCCGTGGTAAGTTATTTCAGAATCCCATATACACACAGTATTTATGTGTAAATAGCAATACTCAGACTAAATTGTTTGTTCTCTATAACATCTCTATAAAATAAAATAAAAAACAAATATTTTATTTTAAAATAAAAATTAAACTCGCTCATATCAAATACATATGTACAATCTGAAATAAAAAATATATATTTTTAGAAACCAGGTACTGATTCTTCCGTTCCGGTCTTATTCTGGATTCATGGAGGAGGATTCTACTTTGGGGATGGAACTTTCCAAATTTATGGGCCACAGTATCTTATAGACTTTGATGTCGTCATAGTCACCATCAACTATCGCCTAGGTGCTTTTGGTAAGTAATCGTTAAATTTATTTATTTATATATTTATTTATTTAAAGTACAATGTCCAACGGGACAGATCCCAGTTACAGGACAAGGTCGTACANGGAATTATAAAATTTAAAGTCTGTTGTAAAGAGAATTGTAAGAGCTTTCAAAAGAAACATTACTCAACCCCCAATGCCATTTAAATATTTTGGGGTGATGCTTACCCTTGCTTGGGGGTAATCGACGGGTCTGAGCGTTTTTCTACAATCTTGACGCAGTTCCTGAAAATGGTCCTGTTTCGTTTTCATTTGGCCACCCTGTATGTGTTATGATTAAAGTACCCAATTGTGACGTGCTAAAATTTTCTGTTGAATTTACAATAAATAAAAACAGTAATAATATCTACACAAGGAAAAGTAAAAATTTGGAGCGAACACACTCCAGAATCGGCAAGGGTTTTGCAATGGAGTCAGCGCTGAATTTGAGAATCTGGCCTCCTTGGAAAGCGCCCATATTAGGATTGTGGCCGTCTCCGATGGATTATTAGGTACTCAGAAAATAATTTTGGTTAATGTTGGCCCTAAGGCCTTGCTTTAAACTGGATTTGGTAAAATTCGGAATTATTTTATTTCGTGGTAAAATGGCAGTGACTCAGTAAGCGGTAGGACGCTGTATTAGCATCGTCTGCTACGGCTGATGGTGTTCGACGACTATCAGCTCTCCGTAGGGAAACATCGGGAAAATGAGTGACTTTTTTTCCGCTCTGCGCCTTCCGATGTGGTTCATAGGTACATAGTTTCTTGTCTATGGTAAAGTAGTTTTGGTGGGATTTGTGCTCTGTGAATGGCTTTTTAAAATTTTATCGAATGTAACAAAAGCCAAACGCTTTATAATTTGTGGATTGGTTTCGGAACGTTTGGACCAACTCGTACGGTAATAAATATTGCAGGCAACAAATACTGAAAGATAAGGAGGTTTCGAGTATATTATAGGTAGAGTCATTAAAAGGGTCATATCTGCAAAATCCTTGTAACCAAAAGCAATAAATTTACAGAACTTAGCCGTCAGTGAACATCATAAAAATTAGAAAGCATTCTGAGTAACTAGACTTGCAACCATTTCTGGCCATCTGGCAAGCATCTGTCCGGGACAAGAAGCGGGAAAAATCGTTATTTGTTCGTCACGGGCTCTTCAGGTATCTATCTACCAGCGAAAATGGGACAGAATGGACGTAGGAATTCCAAAACACCGCCGTATTTTGTCATACCGTTTTATGGAAAATAACGATGAAGAGAGAGATCTAGGTTTTCAGGTGGGCTTTCTTAGCTACAAAAAATGAATTAATACAGAATTGACTAGCCCACCTTTGTACTGTTACACAAGGTCACGGCGAAGGAAGGTTGTAGAAATAGGGTTAGATATAAATTCAGTTCTGTTACGTAATTATCAATATTAAATACTTAGTAAAATCATTCCTAGAACGATTCTGAGATTCAGGGGATAGAGGGGTCGAACTGATGAGATAACAAGTACTTAAGGTATACAGAAGGAAACACTCTCTTTGCCCTTAAAGATCTGCATTGACAAATAGGATGGAAACAAAACTTCCGAATCAAAAATGGGCGTGGTCGAAATAAAATAATTGAAATCCGGTGAGATCGGCAAACGGCAGATCTCCTTGGGTTTCCACACTGTACGGTATATTTAACCTTAGAGCCTGGGGGTTAATTTATTAATCTTGCTTCCAAATTTTGCCATCCCGCGATTCCCTGATTCTCGGAAATCATGTTGTGGTGTATCAATTAGTCATTGATATTGTTCATTTGAATCCGTTGTGTTGCAGTTTGTTTCAATTTTATGGACTGTTATTAAAAACCTTCTTTAAGTAGTTCTGGTGTTTTCTTGTACTCTTTACATTAATTGTCCCAGTGAATGAGAGTGTAACACCTTGTACGACCAACCAATGGATTAAAAGCTACATGAGCAAAAGAACAACATTTCTAAGTTCCCATGTATCATAATTGAAGTGTAAATGATAATTTACGAGCTTCCTTTCGAGAAATGAATAATAATCTCTTTCGTGAAATAATGTTACGATCCTGTTCATGATAGATAGATAAATGAATAATATCCTAAGTGAATTCTAAAAATTGATAACAATAGATGTTTATCAAGTAATCAGAATTATGCCATTGGTTTGATAGTAAGAAAATTGAAACAAAATTTATCTAAGATCTAAGATATAAAGCACTTGCCGTAATTGATTTTAAATTATTTCTAGTCACTATATTTTGAGTGAAGCACCTAAGCATAATACCTTTTAGAAATGTTTCTCGAAATGAAAATATGTGCCACACTGCTAATTTTAATTAATGTAAAAACTTCTTTCGCAGAGGTAAGTATTTTTTTATTACATTATGCTTCAGAACTTCTTTCTTGTACCGTTAACAAATGCTTGGTTTGATTATAGTTTGAGGTTGGCTAAACACTCTATTAATGTAAAAATAAATCTACAAGTTTCTAAATGAAGAGTCAAATGAAAAATATTTGAATATAATGTCACCTTTTTAATAACACATTTTCCTGTTAGCAGATTCTTCAAAGCGCCATCTGGAATCTTTCAAAAGTAATTTTACATTTTCAGAGTCGATAAAGCTGATTGTTTTTTGTTATTCTCATTTAATTTAATTTTTTGTTTTAATAATGGACTTCAGCACCGTGTTTAATAAATTATTTATTTAACGCTATTAATTTTTTGCAAAGGGATATAGTTACTAAAACGGTATACGAAAATTAGAAATGAACAGGGAACTAAAAAGTAGTTTATTTTTCAAACGTTACAATCCTATGAATTAAGTACTATGTCTTCTACAAATACCTATGAGTATTTATATTATAATCTATCTTAATAACGTGTGGACAAACGATTTAAATCCACTTAATTTTAGTAGTAACTATAAATTATAACATCTTTATTACTTTAGCTTCGTGGAAACATATTCTGTGAATTTTAAAGAGTATTTCTTTTTTTTCTATTTTCTATTTTCTTTATAAAATTATCAGTTGCTATCTAGGGACACTTAGGTCTAAAACCTTACGTGTTCAAATTTGTATCATCATCTACACCATTACAGACAAACAATTTACAAGTCTTTGAAACTGAGATAGTGTATAACTTATCAAATAATTAAAAGCAACTTACCCAACCTTGTACTTTCTTATCAAAATACGATAGTGATGAAACGGAAAAAGTACCACTTAAATCAGATATTTTCACTGTTTTATCTGTTATTCCCTGATTTTGTTTTGATGGCAAACATTGATAGAAACGCAAACAAATCTAATTTTAAGAAACCTACTTAATTAGAGTTATCACCGACTAACCTTTGGAATGATTTATTTTATTTTTCCATTGTAAAAAAATTTCACAATTCCACTCAATTTTACTCAATAATCTATCCACACCCGATTGAGTGAAATTTTCACTTTATTAATATGAGTAGAACTGAAATAAGTGTTTTTTAGTCAAATTCGAGGTACTGCTAACTATCAATTGAATGACTTTTGACTCTATTCTGAGTATACAAAACCAATTTAGAGTTGACTTTTTCTCTAATATGATTTAAATTTAACTAATATTGAGTCATTTTTTACTCAGACTTTTAATTAATTTAATTATTTGAGTGAAAGTGATTGTATCTTTTAGGTTCCTACCTGTACACCTGGAATGATTTAACTTAAATACAAAATAGCTTTTATTGAAATTTAATTACTACTATTAAATAATATAATAGACCTTTTGTATTTAATTTAAGATAAAAATAAAAATCATATTTCAATATGTGAAGGGGTTGATTTTATAAATTGAATTCTGTTTAAGCAGAAATGAAGTAGGAAGAAAAAAAACGCCACAAACAAACAATTATAACAATATTATTACGTCACCATTCTTCTCAACAATAACCTGTTCTGAGAATAAGATCATGAATTAACATTTAAAAAAATAAATATTACACGGAAATACAACATTTAAAATTAGTTACTAGATACGATGATTCCTGACTGCCATTGAATTATCACAAATTTTTAGTTAGAATTATGCAACGTTTTATAATAATTAATAAATACATAATATATATTAATTAACGTTTTATTCACGTCCACAGATAGATGAAGAGCTGGTTGTAAATATAACTAAGGGACAAATTCAGGGACACACATTACGTTCACTGCTAGGAAACAAACTTTATTACGCCTTTCAAGAAATTCCATATGCGGCACCCCCAGTTGGTGCACTGAGATTTAAGGTAAGTCAATAGTCACTGACGTGAGGGACACTGTGGGTAAAAATTGAAAAAGAATTATTTAGGGAACACAAAAATAAATGTAAAGTTTTAATAAATTAGCTTTGCATACACTTTTATTACATCATTTTGAAATGGTCTATACTCCGCGGTCGAAATTAAAGAGAGTAATTCATCGCTAGCTCTTAGACTAGTAAGGAGGATGAGGCGTGAGGGGATCGAAAATCCATAGACGTGTATACGTAAAAGGCAACAAGATGTAGAAAATATGGAAAAAATATAATAAAACATAACATCTATTATTTTTAGAGGTTTTATCGAGAAAACTTCAAAAATATTTTAGTAACATTTTGTTTTTAAATTTTAAGTGTTTTCTATAAAACGATGCCCTCTTGGGCATCGATAACCCACCACCACCCGGCTTACGCCGCCGCAAAATATTGTAATGTTTACTATTAATATATTTATTTAAGTAGGTACTTACATATTTTATAATAATTATCTCACGAATATTATCACTGTCACACTTTCACTTCACTGCCACATAATCACTTCACTATTAATATATTTAAATACTTACATATCACATTATTCACATTATATATTTCACATATCACTGTTGCTATCACTATCACTAGAATCATCTTCACCCAAATGAATAATGACTGGTTCTATGAACACTTCTACCGTTGTATCAAGATCCCACATACGTTGTTCCTC